AAAGAGTGAGGACAGCTGGGCACTCCAAGGGAAACGTCAGCTAGAAAGCAAAATCACAAAAGTTGTTGGTTCTGGCAATGGAGCTGTTCAAACGTACCTGGAATGCGCTTGAAATAGGGCAATACAATCAACTTCTCTTTTCAGAGCAGCAAGGGACGGGGCATACCAGGGTGGTGGCAGAGCTGGCCATGGAGACCCAGCCACCCTGCCCTACACACTGGACTGTCCAGCCTCAGTCCCTTCAATTAAAAACACCTTGTGGTATGGAGCAGGGACTTACCACAGACATGGTAATACCTTCACTGAGGGTCTTCTGGTGGAAGTGCCCTGTCAGTGCCAGGCCCCCCAAGTCTGCACCGTTTCAAATAGCCTCCTGCCTATGCATTTTAGAATATAAAGCACAAGGGAGGCTCACTAAATACATGTGCCAAGCTAGAGCCAAACTAGAAATGATTTGGCGAAGTACTGAGCCCTACTTGGAAGAGCTGATCTTAGCTCTTAAAAAGCGACAAATAAAAAAAACTGAGGGGTCATTAGGGCATTTTCAAAGCCTCCAACATGACTACACGGCAACTGTTTCTCACTTACCACTTCCACCTTGATATCACGTTATAACCAAAACCTTGAGAGAAGCTCAGTTTCCATGCAGCCTCAGAGCTCTGACAGCAATTGCCTTGGCGCCACTCGCTGCGTGTGTTAAGAGTGGCTTCTCACTGTTTGATGCCTGGCATTTAAACCAACCCCATGCCACCAAAATCTAAAGGGTCACCAGCCACTGGCAGCATCCAAGGGCACGTGAGATGGACAGCAGATGATTGGGAGATCTAAAGGCAATTGTTTGCAGACTAAGCTGGGATACGAAGGGGCTGCAGATGCAAGGCCCGGTACTGAACAGAAAAACAAGGATCGAAGTAGAGTCTCTGGCTATAGCACAGGGGTGCTTCACCAGGAAACACAGAGTACAAGTTATTGACTAATAATCAACAGCAGTTCCTAATCACTCAGGAAACTCTATATTCACAGGCTTTAAAAGCCACCTGGCTGAGCCCCAAACAAGAGACACGAGCATCTGTGACTCTCACAGGGACTTGACAGGGCAACCCATAGCAAGAAACAGCTAGCAGGGGCATGTGGGATGCAACTATTCTAGGCCACCATGCCTGGGGGGACTGGGCAGCTAAATTGGGCACTAACAGTAACATAGGACATCAAAACGCAGCTTCCCCACAGAACCAGGTGCTAAAAGCGATGCAAGACATTAACTGCAGCTTCCCTACACAACTGGGTGCTGAAAGCAATATAAGATGTCAAATGCAGCTCCCCTACAGAACTGGAGTGCTTTATTGATTCAGAGTGTCATTTAATATCGCAACTTATTATTCACACGCTGCCAGGAGCCACAAGACATCCTGGAGTGCTGCTTTTTTAATCCCAAACTCCCATTTTACCCCTAGTTCTCACCACTCGCTTTGGGGTTAGAAAAAAAGCTGGTGCCTTGTACATGGGTTGCCTGTAGGGCCTGCTGGTGAGTTTTGCTCCCAGAGCTCCGTTGAGTCTATAAGCAGCAAGCAAGCAAGGCCAGATGCAGTCCAAACTAAAACCTTCTCCACTATCCTGGGCACTAGGAAGGCAGCTTGTTGGCTCTGGCTGCAGGCCAGAAACTGCTCACAGCCTGCTTCCTCCTGGGAGCTTTCTACAGCTCCCAGCAGGCAACTCCCTGCTTGTCCAAATACCCCACAGCTGGGCTCTCTCACCAAGCCTGACTGCTCCCTCCAAGAGGCACAAACTGCCCTGTTACAGGCCCCGCAAGCGTGCCCAAAATACGGCCTGCCTTGCCAAGACGCCTGCCATCGCTGAGAAATGCTGCTTCTTCTGTTCTCCCAACGCAAGGAAGCAAGTGTGGTTGTGCCTTTTGCTGGAAGCCCAAGGCCATGCACCAAGTATGCACCATGGCCATGACTCAAGCTGGCAACCCATCCCAAGTCTTATGCTTCTTTCGCCAGATTCTTGGTAACTTGATAGTAATGGGCTCCGCATTGTACCAGACCTGAAGAGCTACCAGCAGTAGAACCTGTGGTCACCTAGTCAGCTGAAACCAAAGCTAGGATTTCATACCTTGGAGCCAGGATATTTGGCTTCTCCCATCTCTTAAATGCAAACACTGTCCCAGACTCAAGAAGCTTGCCATTGTTGACAAGAGCAGAGCCCAGACACTTCCCTTACTGCACTGCTTACTTGCCTTCTGCCTTACAGCGCTTCTCACAGGATTCTACACATACTAATCTACTCTTTTAAAACAAGTTACTATTTAAGAGCTGAAAATAACCAGAGATTCTAGGAAGTTTTTGGGAGATGACACCCAATTAAAGATTTAAGGAAATCACCTGAGGATTATTTCCAGCCAGTCTCATTTTCAAAGGCACATGGGAGAGCCAGCAAGCTCTTGGAGGAAATCCCTCAATTGACTGGAGCTCTTGGAGGGTGCTGGCTAGCATGTGGACAAGAGGGAGCCAGCTGACATCATATATTTGAATCTGCAAGAGGCTTTTGTCAAGGTCCCTCACCTAAGGCTTTTACCAACAACTGCCTTGTTGTGAGATTAGAGGGAAGGATATTTCATGGGTCCAGAACTGGTTACAAGAGAGGAAGCAAAGGGGAGGAGGGCTGAATGACTCGGGGACAAGACCTCAAAGTCAGCATCGAAAGCTCTCTACAAGCATCTGCTCAGGACAGCGGCCGCTGAAAAATTCATTGCGATGTTGGGCATTGTTAAAAGGGTAACTGGAAAGCAAGTAGGAACCAGCTGGACAAATCCAAAACCTGGAATCTGAGGTTCTCTTCTGGTCCTGTCACTCCAGAAGGATGAAGAACAATTAGAAGAGGGAGAAAGAAGAGAAACCAAAAGGATCAGGGAGATGAAGCAGTTATTGGATTGGGAGAGACTTGCAAGACCCTTCAGTTTGGAAAGGAAAAGGATGAGTTAGGGATAGGATAGAGGACTTGAGAATCATGGAAGGTGTGGACCAAGTGTCTGGGGAGCTGCTGTCCATCATCACATCCCAGGGAACTAGCATGAGGCACCTGCTAAAGCGAGCAGGAGATGGGTTTTGAGAGCGTGCTATATTTGTACGCAGTGTGTTGTTGACTTGTGGAATTCGTGGCCGCAGGAGATGGCCTTCAATGCGGAGCATCTAACCAGGTCCAAGGCGCTAGATGAATTCACAGAGAATAGACCTATTAACAGTTATTAAGCAAAGCAGCTCGAGACATTTCCTCTAGCATCTTGCACCAGATGCTGATGAGTGCTGCCAGGGAAGCAGCTCTTCATGTTCTCCATCCTGAGGCCAGAGCGCAGCTCCTGCTGCTGGCCCACCTGACCGAGATGCCCCAGTGCCAGCATCGGAGGCTCCCGATCTGCCCTGCCAGACAGTGGAACTTAATGAGATCCCTAAAGGACCCTCCGCATCTCTGCCCTGACACCTGCTGACAGCTGGATGGCAACAGGATTGCATGTCACATCTGGGCAGCCCAGTCAGCAGGGACCGCTCCCCGGCATAGGAGGGGAGGGGGCATGAGGGCCATGCTGGGGCACCGAGCCGAGCACCAGAACGGTCCCCAGGTCAGAATCAGGACATGAGGGTCGGAAGGGAGCTTAGGAGGTTACTTCTAGTCTAACCCTACTCAAAGCAGAACCAGCCTAGCCCAGTCTATACCAATGTGTCTCAACCCACGGGTCATGACCCAACAGTGGGCGGCAAGAATATATGAAAGCACGAATCTTCCCTCGCAGGCTGGCAGAGGTCCAGCCTGCCAGGGGCTGCTTGGGGCCTCCCACGCCCCCCCCATTGGGGGCAGCGGCTCGCGAGTGAGGGGCACTGGGCCGGGACTGCCCGTGGGACCTGGTACAAAAGAGATTGAGAATCACTGGCGTCAGAGAAGCCCTGTGGGGGCCCCGCAGGCGGGAAGGAGCGAAGGGCCCCACGGGACAAGGTCATGGCCGGGCCCGGGCCCAGGGAGCTCCACTGTCCGCGGCGGACGCGGTCCCGCGACGATGCCCCGTGA